CCTCTGTTACCATGTTGCCTAGATCGTCGGTTATGTGTAGGTATCTCAATCGGCACTGATGAGTGATTTTCCATTGGTTGTTGTGGTTGCGATTCCGGTACACCATAAGTGAAGCCTTCTTCATTATTATCATCATCATCTTCTCCGGACTCTTGTTCTTCTTCATCATTATCGCTTTCAACTATTTCATCTATTTGGCTTGCTGAAACCATATAGTCATTCACAACACAATGAGGACCAAACACTTTGTGCATCAAGTCTATGCATGGCAGAGGATTTTTTTTTAATCTTGATGCTCCTTCCGTATCCTACATTCAATAAAATTTTTAATATTTTTCAAACAATGATTTAAATTTAAGTTAATTTAAATACAATAAATAGGAAAATTAATAATTATACCTTTTTTCTATCTTCCCACCATTTTTCATCCATGGTTATTTTTCCGGTTTCTCGTTCAATGTTTGTACCAGTACGAACAACAAGTCTTTGATACACCGTGTACAATTTTTTTAAATCGTCATGTTTTTGTTTACACTTCTCCCAATCAATTGTATAGCCTGTCTGTTCACGGAACTTCCTGACTATATTATTTTTACCATCTCTATATGGTAAAGTCGAGACATAGTTTATTTTTTGTAGTTCTTCATCTAGTAATTCAATAAATAAGCAATTCATTCTTGGCAACCATCTAGAAAAAGTCTACAATTATAAATAACAGAAATTGTTAAATTAATTCCTTGTAAGTAAATATGAAAACTAAATCAAATTATATTTATACCGTATTGTTTTGGTTTGACGGTCCACTACCAGCATTTCCTGCACCGCTCATTTTCAATTCTGATAAATAAACAAATATTAAAAGTAAAAACGTTAGTTCAGAAATTTGATTTATAATATATCTAAATGTGAAAATGGTAAATTCACATGTTTTTATTATATTGTAAAAATATATGATGAACCTTATTAAATCAAAATAAAATCTATTTAAACAAAACAATAATATTTTATCATAGTCAAAGCATTTAAGCATAAATAAATAAGTGATTTGGTTTAATATTCTACAGATTATATATAATATAAAAGTAACTTATGTTTTCAAAATTTTAAAACCTAGTGTTTTAGTAATATTAAGAACAAATATATAATCATTAATCTTTGAGATTTGCGATTTTTCATGATAAGATATATATGTATAAAACTTTTAATATAAAAAAAACTAAAAGGATGCTATTTGTCTAAATTCTTTAATTTTTTGTAGTATTTATAAAAATTTCTTCTGAATAAAATTTTGTTTCAATGTTATCGCTCCTTTTTTTATTACAAGCTTTTCAGTACATTAATATAAAACTAAAATTCAGCTTGATAAAATATTATTGTAAAGAATGAACGAGTATCAACAAAAAAATGTGTACTTACTTGATTTTGGTTTTCTTGTGTGCTTTTTCTTCTTCGGACGTTTGGATCACTTTTTTTTCTTAAGGAACTAGTTTTTTCTGGGTAAATGAAAGGGTGATGATTTCTTGAATGTGCAATAAGATGCACCTCTTTATAGCAAATGTTAAAATACAGCCGTGAACTTTATTTATTGTTTTTTGATTTGTCTTTTTTCAATTATAGACATTGATTTGCTCAATTTTATCTACAAGGAAAATAAAAAACTGTATAGTTTTGTTTTTTATGTCAAATATTTAATTATTGAAAAAGAAATAAAATTCCTCAGATTTTGTCTTTTACTTAAATTCAGCTGAATTACACAAATGATAACTGGTAACTATAAATAGTATTCAGCTGTATTCTTCTACATTCTGCAAATCTTCAATACACCAATTAAGCCCTATGTATCATTTTTTAGAGTTCCTAAGTAAAAAAGAATTACATCGAATGCTATCAATATCATCATCATTCATGTTTGGTTCAGTTATGATCGTGACAGGACAGCAAAACCTAATCTGCTTAATATCATCATGTAGAATTAGCAGCTGGACTAGTTATCAATTTATTAACGTCGCTTTAATTATTATTCTTTTTTTTTTAGTTCAAACGTCGCTTTAATTTTTAAAAGAAGAAAACAACATACTCGGCGTTTTCGACTTTCTGTGACAATCTACGTAGCATGGAAGCTTCGTCCGATGACCGCTTCCCGCTTCGGAATCGGAATCGGAATCGGAAGCTCTCGGAAGCTTTCGGAAGCTCGCTTCCATGACGCTTCCTAAAAAACCTCTTTAAAAACGTTTTGGAAGCTTGCAATTCCGTTTCGGAAGCTTACGCTTCCGTATAAAAATATAATATCTTAAATAATTATGAATACTTTTATATGTTATGATTTTATAAGTTTTTATAAAAATGAAAAATTAATTATACCATGTATTTAATTTTGCATTCACAAATTAAAGACTAATTTTAATCTATTATCTATAAAAAAATTATTTAGAAAAATTATTAAAAATAAAATGAGAATAATTCTTTTGATTAGAAAAATGCGATTTCAATTTAGTGATCTTTCTTTAATAACATAGATATAAGATTATTTTACATGGAATTAGAGAATAACGAAATAAGAAACTAAAATTGGTTTTTGATTTGAATTATTTTAATTATTATTAATTGAATTATATAAAATTGATATATTTAATTTATGCTATATACACATATATATGTATATATATATATACGCTTCCAACACGTACCCGCTTCCTAATTTTTTTAAAAATATCGCTTCTATACTATAAACATGGTTCTTAAATTGATTCTCAATCTATCCAAAACTCAACATACAATTTTTACATAAGTAACCAATAGCCACATGATGTCGTGGATTTGATATTGTGGATATGAATTCGTGGACAAGATAACATATACATAAAACCATGGATACAATCAAGAACAACAAATCGTGGACATAATCTTCTTTCATCAACATATACGTTTGATTGATTGCACAAATGCATGATGTTTAACAATAGAGATCAAAAACAACAAATCCCCTTATATTACGTACTTTCAACTAACTCGTTTTTAAGAGCTTTTTTTTTCCACATCTTATATCTACAATGTTCTTGGATACAAACTATTGTTTGTGCATGTTTACTTATCCAACAATTAGTATTTGTTTGCTAGTTTGCTATCTTGGTTCCATCAACTAATTCCTTCATAAATGTATTTGTTTATGCTAGTTGTGTCAACGCAACGGCATCCATATGGATATTATTAATTTCTTAGTATAGTACACTGCTTTTATCCACATATTCTTGTATAATTGCATTTATCCATATGTTATATGTCTTTTATTAGAAGATTAGAAATTTTGTTTCACTGGTAAATACGAATAATATTAAAAGAGAATAACTATTAGGTTTCTCTGGACGGGGTTCTATACAATTAGGCTTATCAACAATATCAACTTTAGGCAGTTGGAGTTCGCCGTCCATGGACTGCTGTCCATTAGAGTCACGGTTCTCATCCACATCATTTGATCCACCAATAACTATGTTTGTGTCACAGCTGCCAGATACAACTTTGTGTTCTTTTGCAGCGGATGAACTTGCCGGAGTAACCAAAGAACGGTTGTAAATCTAGGAGAGATTTGTCTTTATAATTGAGGCAAATACACTATGAGATTTCATCGTCGAATTCTGTATTGATAATCGATTTGAAAGTTTTCGTCATCGAATTCGTCGGAAATTACTGTTGGCGATTGGATCTGGAAAATTTTCAATCTCATCGAAGTTTGGAGAAGATGAGTCTGAATTAACTCGCGATCATGTCCACAGCTACATGTCCACGCAGTCGTGTACACGTCGTGATGCGTCCACAAGTCACAATCTACAGATAAATGATGTATTGGTCACATCTGAATTCAATTTCGTGGACTGCTCAACATAGATACAGCTTAAACACGCCTATATTTTTACCCCTTCATAGAGGAATGTGCAATGTTCATGGCTAATACATAATAATGGGATGGATTGTGATGGATTGTTGTATATGAGTGAGTGGATATTAGACATCCAAGATAACCTAAAAATGGATGCATGTACATACACAACAACTGGACATAGCCATATGGACAGATCCATTTGGATATAGAAAACAATTAACTAATCTTAATGTAATAGGCCTATGAGATCCATTAAAACTATTAAGATCACGAAAAGATCCATGACTTCATGTCCACACAGTCATGTACACGCATACATCTCAATCAAGATACAAAAATTTAAACATTTTATCTTTAACTATTACACTAGCATAAGAGATCACTTACTCCAAGTAATTGTTTGTTATAAACAAATTGTTTATACTAGGTAAATACCCGCGCTTTGCTGCGGGAGAATGTCATTGCATGTTTTCTTGTGTTTGAATTAATTAAATTTAAGATATTATAATTTGGTATTCTAATCGAAAATGTAAAAAACTCCATATACTTTTTAATATCAGCTAAGAAAATTCAAGCTTGAAAAATAATAACAAAATTCAAAATCGACAATGGCTCTTGTGGTTGCTTTGAAGAAGGCAGGAACTGTTCGACTTAAATGGTTCTTTTTTTTGTATAGTTATCTAAAGTCACATTTAAGGGAAAATACCTTATATGCTGAGTCTGATGTAGATGTAGATGTAGCCGTAAGATTTTTATTTTCAATATACTTTTTATGTCATCTATGATTCTATGTATGTAGTAGAATAAGACATCTCAATAGGTAAATGAAACAAATGGAATTTTACTCTCTTTATCTCTTTAACTTCTTCTCAGGTTCCTTCTTCTCCTCTCTCTTCATCCTCTTCATCTTCATCGTCTTCTTCCTCACTTATCTTTTGTTGATAACCTCACTTCCCACCTTTCCTATAGTAATATTTCGCTTTACTAAACCTCATCCACTTCTTCTTGATTCATTTTTTCGGAGTCAGGATCCATTGCGGAAGTCTCAAACGTTGTCGGATGATCAAAAGGAATGTTACTTCATCTTCCTTTCTCCCACGCAGAATACTCTCGACTGGGATTATTAGTGTAAATCTTCTTCTCTCTTTTTCTCAATCCAATGTCTTTCCCTTCTCTCAAAACATACAAAAAAGTTTTTGTGATCATCTCTCTATGTGGGATATAAGAACTCAGAGTCAAGTACCTTATCTCCAATGATTCCATAGCTCTGCACTGGTTCTCAGCCGGTACCCAAAGCATACAGCTTGAGGTATAATCTATGACAATGGATAAAAGAACAGAGATTTTGGGCAACCTTAAAAATCAGATCAGCACAAAAACCTATTTCAAATTAAATCCACGTAGCCAAATCCACGTATGAGAGTCACTGATATGATCAGTAGATACCAAAGCATCCACTGATAAAAACTGCAAAGAAAAACGTACATGACCAAAAGCACAGGAGAGTTCCAGTTGGTGGTAGATTGAATCGGAAGAATCATCAATGGAAAGCTAACCCAAAGACTGCAAAGAATCAAACCATTTTAAGTTATAATCAAAACAATCGTAATTTCAAGGATATCAAAGAGAGAATGAACCTTTTATTTGGAGTCAGAAACTGATGTTTCTCACCAAGGATTATGTCTCAGTCTTTGTTACCGTTTTCAATAATCGAGACTGTGTTATGCCACCAATAAGAAAGAGACAAACAAAAAAAATCAATTAGAAGAGAGATCATGATAGTAACTATTTAAAATTAATAGTGGCACAAATCATAGTTCGCTCTTTTTCCCGAAAACAAAAATGCTAATAATATTCAAGTGCTGTAGTTTACTTCTTTATGTCTATGCAACTCAAGCAGTCAAGCTAACTATATATCACTATTGCAGGATAGATGCATAACTCGACATTCCAGTTTCAAGCTATAAGATTTGGCATTAATGCAATGGCTTGAATATAACTTTACCTCAGACAGCCACAAATTGACAATGTTCTTGCAGTCACACAACCTAGGCTCTCAAAATAATAAACTTCAATCACGAAAACTTCAAGCAATCTAGTGGCACAAAGACAGCACATAACTAAATAAAAATGGGTTTTTAAGCTAGATATCAGATCCTAATTCGGAAAGATAGAGAAGAAAGTACAAACCTCAATCCAAATCTTCCTGCCTGGTTTCAAGATTAGCTCCACCGCCACTTCCACGTGCTCCCGACCCTGAGCCAGAGCGGTTCTAGTGAGCCATCCCAGGCTTGAAGCTAAGGCACAAGCGATTGCTTCTTCTGAATCAAATATCACATTGAGAGAATCGAGACCTCACATGTCTTTTCCTCTTTTGTGTTCTTCTTCTCGCCATAGACAATATCTCGCTAGAGAGAATCGAGATTTCAGATCTGCTCTCCTGGTGACGTTGATGGCTTGAGCTTCGGCCAGATCCACCACATCTTTCTTAATAATCTATCCGACGATTCTCTTGCGGAATTGTTCACCTCGAGTTTCTCCGCTGGACAATTTGTCGCCATCGTTACAAGCTTTCTCTGCTTTGGTAAGACTTGTCTCAAACGATAGAAGACGAATTTAGCGAAGAAGAAAAATCAATACTAACCGGAGAGGAAGTAAATCGGATTTAAATTGGGTCAAACCGAGACAAAAAAGTGGCAACTGAACCAAAGAAATTGCTGACTCGTATTATTATTATTTAGAATATTTCTATTGGCTGTTTGTTTTAAATGACATAGCAGCTTCAGGAAGCTTAGAAAAACTGATGTATCATCACCTGAAGAGGCACAAAGACTTTTGCTATGTTGATTTCAAACAGTTAAAACTGTAAACAAAAGTGAAAATAAGGGGTGCCTCATCCAAAAGTCAAAACACTAATGTATTGACAGGTTGAGGTTAAAGTAGACATGAAGTTGAAAAATGGTGTAAAACGCCAAAGCTAAAACTACCAACACAATAACTTTTAAATACAATAGTATAGTCATGAAAAAATCTTGATTAATCTGGATTTTTGTATACAATAAATCATATATGTTGATGAAAGAAGATTTAGTCCAACGATATCACCCTTAGGCAGTGGAGTTCACCGTCCATGGACTGTTATCCATCAGAGTCACGGTTCCCATCCACATCAATCGGTACACCAATGACCATATTCGTGTCACAGCTACCAGATACGACACTACCTACCGCCGACATTGCATCTTGTACGCCTCCCATGCAATGATCGTATGGACATTGATTGTATAAGACTCTCAAAACTTGCTAAACATGAATTGGTGAGGTTTGAGTCATGTCATATCCATTCATATTCCAAAATAATTATCCAAACAAAGACGTCCAGATGGGCGCCTCACTACGTGTACACGACTGCATGGACATGTAGTTGTGGACATGATCGCGAGTTAACCCAGATTCATCTTCTTCAAATTTTAACGAAACTGCAAGTTTTCCAGATCCAATAGCTTTTCTTCTAACAACATCATAAAATTTTCCAGATCGCGAATTAACCCAGATTCATCTAATAACAATAATTTTTTTCAGATCCATCAACTCTTCTTCTAAGCTTCACAACGGTCTTCTTCCTCCGACATAGGACAAAAGTAGTTTTCTTAAAGACAAATCTCCAGATCCAACATCTGTTCTTCTTAACCTTTGTATTGTTTTCTTCCTCCGACGAAGAAGATGAAACGGTGAAACGGTTAAAATAAAAGATAAAGTAAAACAAGGAAAGTAAACAAAATTGTAAATAAAGAAGAGAAAAAAGGGCTTCTTGGTCATTATAATACTCCAAAGTCTCTTAGTAACACAAAGTGTCTTTGAGTGTAAAAAATAACTCAAAAGTGCCTCTTTACACAAAAGTGAGTGTAAATGACTCTTTCTTTTTCCTTTACTCGATATTGTACTACTATTTAATTTAGAAATGAGCGTCTCAATTCAATATTTAATTGTTGGAAACGAATATCACAAGTAAGAAACCCAACGTCCGTAGTTTTGTTGGTATATTAGAGGACATTCAGAAGAGAACACTCACCAATCACCATGTTCACGAGTTCGAGTCTTGATATGTTAAGAAAATGACCATTCTACTAGTCACTCGTCATAAGATATTATGGTGGTAAAAAAACATATTCGAACATCACATGTTATCACCCCAATGCAAAAGCATAATTAATATTATGCATTTGAGCCATGAGTCGATTATGGTCTCCCCTAGCCCTTTCCTCGAAGTACATCTTCAATGTTCTAGATGAACAAGTAAACTTCTCTTGTTATTTTAGATTCTTTTGAGTTGCAATTTGTACGCAAACGTTTTTTTGTCTAATAAATTTAGTTTTGAAGTTGACACTTGGATTATATAATTTAAGGAAACACTTTGAAGAAGTCTTTTAGACACTTGGATTGTATAGTAGTAAGCAAGACTTTATGAGAGTAGACCAGTGCAGCCAATGACACATATATACATGGTGGAGAGAGAGGTAAAGGAGAAACTTGGAAGCATGGGGAGGATATCGGATCTTTCAGGGGATTTGGTAGGGGAGATACTCTCTAGGGCTCCATTGACATCTCTGAGCGCAGTGCGATCCACTTGCAAAAGTTGGAACGATTTATCCGAAAATCAGATCTTTGGTAAGCAATTGCTAGGGTTCATGGTGATGGATTCAATTCAACCGGATCTCCGCCACGGCTTGGCTGTAAATACTGTAAGTATGTTCAAGCAAGTCGAGATAACCAGAGTGTATCACTGCGACGGTCTATTGCTATGCGCCGGCGTCAGAAACAACACGAGGTCCGTGGTGGTGTGGAACCCGTACTTAGGGCAAACCCGGTGGATCCAACCCATAAACGAATTCGCCGAATTCGACATGTTTGCTCTCGGATACAGCAGCAACAACGTTAAGAGCCGCGAGCACAAGATGCTAAGGTTCTTGGATTGGTTTGACGGAGAGAAACAATTCCAACACAGCTATTTCGAAATGTACTGTATCGAATCTGATTCGTGGAGGGTTCTTCATGTCAATCCCGAGTGGTCGATACATTTCCAGCAACGCGGCGTGACAGTGAAGGGAAACACTTACTTGGTTGCTCAAGACAAGTCAACGCCAACGATACCGATGGACACAGAGGTTGGAGTTTGGCTACTCTGTTTTGATTTTACGACAGAGAGATTTGGACCTCGTCTTCCTTTGCCGACTCACTCGTACTGTTGGTTTACAGAGACCTTGGCTCTGTCTGGTGTTGGAGATGAGCAGCTCGCTTTGCTATATCAATCTCCCACTAGTAAAATAATGGATTTTTGGATTACTACTAAACTCGAGCCCAATGCGGTTTCATGGAGCAAGTTTTTGAGAGTGGATACGCGATTGCTCTCTGGTTTTCCAGCTAATTTCTGTGCTGGGAGCTTCTTCGTTGACGAGGAGAATAAGCTCGCTGTGGTTTCCTATTTGCCTAAATCCTATCTACGTGAATATGAACCCATGGAGACTTGTCGCCACCTAGCCTCTTTGTATATCGTTGGAGATGGTCATGATGGTGGAGACTTCAAACCTTTGAATATTCGACAATCTACCAAATCCCTCGGATACTTCAACGAATTTTCCTTCTCTTGTTATGTTCCAAGTTTGGTTCAAATCAACCAACGCGGCAAGAAAAGGAAACACGGAGGTTTTTAACTTGCAATACAAGTTATTGTAGGAGTCATGTGAAAGTCCAGAGACGTGATTTGTGTGTCTATAAGATAAACTTACTGATATATATGATAGCTCGAAAGATCTTGATATTACATTGGCTCTCAAACTTACTACATTGGTGACGAATGGGTTGACATTAGAGCCGGAGATTTCGTGGCACCATCACAAGACGCACCAGCGAAGATCTTCTTCACAATGTATCAACATGACAACACCATCTGCAAGACCGGGCTTGTGGTAAAAGGTGTTGCAATTCGTGCCGTGAACTAAGATGCAGATGCAAAAGCATGTTGGATTTCTATATTATTTCATTTCCAAAAACAGAAACTGGTTTATGTTTGGTAAAAGTTGTGTGTAGTTTGTTCTTATTCAAACATAAGGTTTGTACGGTTGTTCAAAATTCTTCACAGTTGAAACTTTTAATCGATTTTATCATTATAAATTTCTGTTCATTATTAGTTATTTTCTTTTCTTGGACCTAGTTTAATTTTATTATCAACTTGATTAGAGATCTTGCGTATACTGTATAAAGTATTTTTTTTCCTATTTTGCCTTGGGCCTCAAGATTCTAGGTTTGGCCCTGTCTATAATCTGAAACTTGAAAATGTCAAATCGATGGAAGGAAATGAGAAAATGTGTCCACTAGATTTGAGTATTGAAATGCAAGTTTCTCACCAACGGAAAAAACAAATTGGTTCTCTGCAAACCTTGACATCTTCCAATCGGTCGTGGTTATAACTACATAAAAATTAAATGGCAGATTAAATGATTTGATCTTTGTCTCTCTGCGTTTGACAGCTGAGATTCTCCATTGATATAGATGAACACGTCAACTTTTCTTGATATTAATTTTTAGTTGTTGCAATTAATTAATACTTGGAATATATGATTTATCAAAATCACGAGCAATTGTTTCTTCTTTCTTTTCCTTTCGCATATCGTTGCCTCGAAAGTGATTATAACAATCTAAACTAGGCGATGAATCATTGACTTTGTATTATTTTAAGTAGTTGCATATTAATTAAGTGATTATGGTAATCCAAACAGCGCGATTAATCATTGACCTTTGTATTTCGTTAGAACATAGTTGCATCTAAAGTAAACGTCCTTTCGAACAGTTGTGCAATTCGAAACGTAAAGTGGATTGAAATCTAACTTCTCTTCCTAAGTATATACTTGCTACCTAAAACATTTGTCTCTCTTCCAATCACCATGTTCGCTATCAATTTTAATTTTGATTGTCAAACGCTGATCAGAAGTATCTTTAGATGCTTCGCTGGTAAGGGTTATATTCGGAACCTCAGGGATAATCTCAGGGATCTGAGGAGGGAAAGTGAAAATCTCAAAGCAACTCAACAAGAGGTGAAGGACAAGGTTGCGAGAGATGAGGCACAACCTCGAAAAATGCTATGGCTTGGCCGTGTCGAGAATACCGATATAGAGTTTGATGATCTGCTTAGTACTGCTGATGATCATCTTACAGAGTTGTGTCTCTGGGATATTTGCTCCAAAAATCTATGGTCCAGCGACTCCAGCCACGCTTATGGGAAAAGAGTTTTCTTGTTGTTGGAAGATATTAAGACACTCAAACAAGAGGGTGATGAATTTAAAGAGGGTACTGGGCCGGCTCTGCGATTTGAAGATCAGAGACAGCAACCTCAAGCAGTTCAGATACAGCAAACTCAAGCAGGTCAGAGACAACAACCGGTCCTAAATCCCCAGGGTTGCTTATTGTTCAATGTAAGTGAAGACCTCATGATAAGCAAAAAAGATGATACCACATATTGGACCTTTATGTCCGAGTCACCCAAGTAAGAGCTTTCTTTTGTGTTATTTATCAAGTTCGTATTATCGTATATATATATGGTTATTACTGATATACATTATCTAGGTTTGAATTCAGATGATGACATTATATATATATATATATATTCGTCTAGTACTTGTTAGACATTTCATCATTTTGGAATCGATCTATCTTTGAAAAAAAATTAGATTTATGTAGACCACCTTTTTTAACTGACCTCTTTAATCCTTAAGTATGTTTGAAAGGCCGAGATAGACCTATATACATCTAGGTTTTGGCATTCTCATATTTGGCTAAACTTATAAAATTTGTCTCAAAATCAATTTGTAATGCATGGATTAGCTAGTTACTATTGTCGTTTATAGATTAGGTTACAATGGATTTATTCAATTAACTATTTTAATTGATTTGAAAATCCTTATTAACATTTGGTGTTAGTCGGTCTTTTAAAAAAACTGGTGTTATTCGTTTGATTATTCCTGAATACTAGTTACAATTTAACATCTCCCTGAAGATTTTTTGGATAAAAAGTACAAAGAGATAAGGAAAACGTAATTATTTGCAAATTAAAAATAAAATAAAAGATATATATATATATATATATATATATAGCTCCATTTTGATTTGGAAACGTATTATTTAGAATCACAATCTATGTTTTTAAATACGCGAACGAATAGACTCTCACTCTCCTGTAACTCTTCGAACTTTCAGAGTGAGAACCTCACACCATGGAGATGGAGTGGTTATAATTTCACATATGGTGACTTGGTTAAATCATTTTCTTATCAAAAACTTGATGGTTATATTATGTTCAGTGAGGAGACAGTTATAAAGATGAGAGAATGTTATTATCTTGATGTGCGCCAAGAAGTGGACAGCATAAAACTGACATTGGGGACTAGGTCGAGGTGGTGTTTGTGGTGAAAGTGGAGGATACAATGTCCAGATGGGATAATCCGGCGAAGGTACGACTGATGGTACCCAAGAACCCGCTTCAAGAGCGGGAATTGCAGTTTGATGATCTCATAAGAAACGAGTGGACTGAGATCCAGGCCGGAATTTTCTTTGCACAGCCGCATAAAGAGAAGATCCGTTTTCGTTTGTATCAGTGTGAAGCTCAATTGATGACGGGGCTTCTGGTTAAAGGTGCTATATTTCGTCCCATGGAGTAAGTCAAATGCATGCATAAGCTGATAACTGAGTCCAGCTTCCTTTGTACTGTCCCTTATATATTGTGGCACTATCGATCTTCAATAATATTGGGTTTTATTGGGTTAAACGATTGTGTTTCTGTTTATGATTGAGTAAAATTATGTTTGTGTTTTAAATTAGAAAGATTGCTTTAACTTGCTATTGATATTGGATTTGTTTTGTTTATTTTTTGTATGTCTTAAAATGATCTATTACTTATAATAAAGTCGGAATAACACATCACTTTTTTTGTAAGATGTAGAATTATTTATTTATATATCTATATAGGGCGTTTGCAAATAACGTAGTCCGGTCCTGTAATCTCCTACAACTCAGAACTTTTCCAACGAATTTCCTACATCATTAAACTACTTTCTCTTCTCCTCCTGTAAATTTTGCATTGCGAAACAATAATCTATAAATTTAACCAATCTGGAGTACCAAACCGGTAACCGGTTAAAACGTCAAGAGAAAAAAACAAGAAAAAAGGTGTGACTTGTGAGACGCCAATATCAACTTCATCCAGTTAAAGATGAGTTTTCTCTCTTCTGCCTCTGCTCGCACCTGCAACGTGTTTTGTTGTTCCTCAGACAAGGTTCTCTCTTTATCTCCTCTCTCTAAGTCTCTGTACTTAAGGTTTAATTCATGACGATGAGATTATAATAATATAATTTTGTTCGAAAGGGCAATGCAAAAGAAAGAGAATGGAAATACCCAATTCCTGTAAAACACAAAGATTTGGAATTTCTTATCAAGAAGTTAGCTCCGCCTCTCACGGCGGCTCTACTCGCGGTGTCACCGATCATTTACCCACCAGGTCACTTTAATTTCCTCCGACCCGAATCCTTGTGAACCTACTCACTTGGAATTAGACTCTGTTCAGTAGCTCTGGTTTAGTCTCAATCTTGGTTCTGCCACCAGAGAACAAGCATGTTATCAAAACTTAAATTTTCTTGCTTTTGGGGGTGATTTCTTGTTTGAGAATTGTAATGTAAAAATGAAGTCGTTGCAAAATTGGAATCGACAATTTAAGAGAATGAAATCTTGAATGTGTTTGTTCATGAAGGTTACTTGCTTTTTTCTTTTGGTTTAGAATCTCTTGCGCAAACTTTGGATATACAAAGAGGAGCAACATTGTTTAATAGAGCTTGTATCGGTTGTCACGATACAGGTGGAAACATTATTCAACCAGTGAGTTTAAAGTTTAAACACTTCAAAACATAAAATATCAATGAACCATTCTCTTCTTGTGCCAATCTTATTAGCTAATATCCTTATCTGTAATCCAGGGTGCAACACTTTTCACAACTGACCTCCAAAGGTGACAAAATACAACCAATGCTCTACGCTCAAAGATGTCTTGTGAGCATCAGTTACTACAGATATTTGTCACTTAAAGATTTGCATTGTTTTACAATTTACAGAAATGGAGTTGATACTGAGGAAGAGATATTCCGTGTTACCTACTACGGAAAGGGAAGAATGCCGGTGAGCTCTCTCAAGAGCTTCCTTGTATAAATTTAGAATTCTCTTCCACTTAGCTAAATGATCTGAAGAGATGTCTGTCCGATGGTTTTACTTTAGGGGTTTGGAGAGAAATGCACGCCGAGAGGACAATGTACCTTTGGACCGCGGTTACAGGACGAAGAAATCAAGCTTCTTGCTGAATTTGTCAAGTTTCAGGCTGACAAAGGTTGGCCAATTGTATCTACAGACTAGCGAGTAGCAGCAACAAAGCTTAGTACAGTACTTTGTCTAAAGCTCAATGTATGGTGTTAAATAATATAACAAGATTTTATGGGATTTGGGAGGCTTCATTATGTTCCAAGATGTTCTTGAGGTACAAGTACAAAATTATAGGTGTTCATAATCCACCAATACATATCTGCTCATAACTCTTGAGTCAAGAGTCTTGACATTAGCCATTACAAATATGCTATTCTGAATATCTTTCCTCCGGAGAAAAATGCAGTGGAAAAAGAATACTGATGTTACCGTTGAAATCCTCTTGGTTTGTTATCAAGTCTCATGTGTGAAGCCTTCACTCTTTCATGGTTCTTGAGAACATTCCGGTGAATCAGTTCGCTTTCTTTTCTTCGCTTCTGACTCACCTAACTGCAAAGAAAAGCCAATCTCATCGCCTGAGCCACTAGCCTTCAACGAAGACAGGTTCTTGGATTCAAGATTCTCTTTCCCATTGGTTTTCTGATGGAGAGGAGATCTGTTGTTGCTTGAACTTGGAATAAACTGATGTTCTTCAATCACCGCCGCTGATTCCAACACGTCTTCTACTTGGAACTCCGGATGAATGTTCAAGTTGTCTTCTTCTCTAAGAACTTGCCGGACATTCAAGTTAATAGGCTCAAAGTTCTCACCCGTTTTACACCTCGATATGTTGCAGCACTCACCAGGAGATGATTCAACGACCATAGAATCAACAGCATTACACATAATACCGTTTCTCTGTTCTTGCACCGCAGCTGCACTCAGCAAAAGAAACATTGAACAAAGAAGCAGTGTCTACTATTAAGTAATGAACAAAAAAGAACCTGAAGAGATCACACAAACCTTGAAGACCTTCATTGGAAATGATGAGATCAAGCTCAAGAAGGTTAAGAACTCTGCCAAGATCAACTCCACTTGTCCAATTCTCAGGTTGTTCCCCTACTTTCAGCTTCAACCGTCCCCGGTTAGCTGTTCCGCCCCAAATAATACCAACCGGACGCGGTTTTTCATTCTTCTCATCTCCCGCCGCCAACAGAATAAGACTTCCACTATCACCCTCAAGATCAAAAGTCTGCTGGTTCTCACCAACAACAAGAAAATCCGTTAGGAAACAGATCCCTTTCTCGTCATTGTATTCCAAAGCGTAAGCCATTATGGTCCCGGTTGTCAAACCAGAGCTTCTCCCAACTTTAACCACTTTTCTTCCTATCACACTGTTAACTGGAGACTGTAGATCAGTAGCATGGATCTCGCCAATCTCACCAATCCCTTTGACAGTTGTGGTTACATTGTTCATATTGAAATCCTCCGCAAATGGAATGAAGGCTCCATCAGCTCGAACAAACGTTTCTACAGAAAGACAAAAACGAAAAAAATGAAAAATGTGCCACACCATGAGACTATCAGCAGAAATGTTATTATATACATTGTTACCGGACTACCTGGGTTAGTTCCAGCGAAAATGCCATACCAAAGGTCATCAGTGATGAACGATGTTGCTCTTTCCACGGCACCTAAGTACACTCCTGGTCCGAGGCTAGGTGGTAACGGATGAAACATCTTCTGGCTCGGGTAGTCTAAATCAACTGCAACATGCCGGTTTGTTAGGAAACCAACTTGTCTGATGCCGGTTTTACTCTTTACAATAGCACCTAAGGTTCCATATGTCTCTTGGCTAGCCACCTACAAGAAGAGAGGCATGGCTGGATAATGGTTTCTCTCGAAAACATATATGCAAGTTTAGTACAAATGTTACCTGTGAACCAGATCCGATAGTCGAACCACCACCTCTCAGATCATCAACAAGCTCTGTATACACCTGCTCTTTAGGCGTTTGAGCAGGCGCACCATAATATTGAAATTCAACAACATCTACATCACACCATACTCCTCCAGGACCCTGTCAAAGTAAGAAACTTTACTATAAGTTTTGTAACATCTACGTTACTAAAAGCCAGCAGTACGAGAAATCCAATGGAAGTTATGATTAGAAGATGATTCAAGCTGCAATCATGTAAACAGAATGTTAAACATATCTCACCTCCAAGGCTGTAGGTAGACACTGAAGAGGATTAAGCCACTGCTTGTGAACTTTCCGAGCAACAAAAACAAGAATAGCAGTTATATTTGTCAAAACACCACGTCGAATCCGAAACCCTACAGCTGTACCGAGGCTAAACCTCCTCAGATTCTTGCTATGAAAAGCTCTGATCATCATCAACTCAAGCAATGAAGTAGCTTTTTTCCCTGTAGGCAAACCTTCAAACGTTTCAGGCAAAACGCCTTTTTGAAGGTTTGCAAAATAGTTTGCTCTGTCTTCAGCTGAATCGTTGAGTCTACTTGAAGTAGGCCAAGAGAAGTAAGCAGCACTGGTGGTTTCAGGAAGCTGGCCGCCTGATGGAAACAGTTGAAGCGGCGGCGAAGACGCCGTTTTTATATGACTGTAACCGTTTTTGTCCAAATCAAATGCTGATTCTGCAGACTGTGCTGATGTAGAGTGATGAAATCGAAGATCCAATATTTTTCCTTCCATCTTTAATCTCTTGCTGCTAAAGTGAAGCAAACGAATGTAAGAAAACAATTTCAAGCTTTTATCATCAATGGAATCAAAACACCAAAGACCAAAGTCTAAAAAAACCCAAATTAGTTGATGTATCTAAAAGGTTAGAGCTTTATAGGGAAATCATGTGGTAGAGTGAAAATGATGATAAACCCAGAAAAGGAAACATGAAAAAGCATCAGAATTCGACTGAAAACAGACGGAGTAATTAATCAAAATTCAAAGAGACAATTTTGGGGGTATGTTCGATAGAGAGAAAGAAGTACAAACCGATCAGTAGTAGTGTTAGATCTTTCTCATGTCTTAGATGCAACACTCTTCGAAAGGATCGAAATACAAGGGATTGGGGGAAGAAGTGTAATAATGGAGAGGACCCAAGCAAGAACTTCGTTTCAGCTTGAGAGTGGACGACGAAGACTTTTTTTTTTAATTTTTATCTCAAAAACAAAATTGATGGAAAAGTGCCACTCTTTTGTTTGCCAGTGTATATATTTTATCTTTTGTTTATTTTTAATTTAAAATTCCAATTTTTTTATTTATTAGTATATTTTAATTGATTTAAAAATAAAAATACAAAAAGGGATATTTCATTGGACTTTTTAATAAAAGATAAAATCAACATAACTAAAAAAAAATTCAAATAACTCACTACTTTAATAGATATAGATGGTATTATATTTGATAAAATCACACAACATCAACGAAAAAAAAAAAAAAAAAAACGTCAATTTTGTAGGCTCCTCGATTCTTCACACTTTCCATTCAAGAAAATTGTGTCTTAGTTCCACAAACTCATTATCCCATCAAGCACCTGCACGTGGCTCACAGAAAATATTGAGACAAACACCAAGTAAGCACTCCCTCAAGGCAAATTACTCATCGCTTAAGCTTGTTCGCCTCCTTTTGCTTCAGAAATCATAAGTACAGTCAGTGGCGAATCTAGAAAAAAATGTTACCAAGCCGGCACTGACCTAAAGCATGTAAAGCATCATGCTTTAGGCGCCAACATATAATAAAGTTTTTAGGGCGCCAAAATAACAAAAGTCCTTAGTAGCATGGTGGTTGTGTCATTGCTTACATGTGAAAAGGAAGGTCACGAGTTCGAACCCTTGTAATGCCAAAATCGCGTATTTTGTTTTTTAACAGTGTTTTACATGGGCTAAATTTTTTTTTTGCTTTAGGCGCCAAAATGGGTCAGGCCGGTATGGAGAATCAAACTCTTTTTAAGGGGTCATAGGCAAGATTTTTCCATGCAGTCTAACAAAATCAATGATATTTTAACCAAAAATACGTTTGCATACAAATTGTTATGGTGTCACATGACACCGTATCGGTGTTAGTGGATTCGCCACTGAGTACAGCCCAATAGCTTCTGTCTAAGCACTGTTACACTCTGTGACAGACGTTGTTGCAATCTCTGCTCCATAAGTATCCAGAAATGATTCATATATCCTCATAACCATCATTGTCAAATGAACCTGCAGATTTTGCAAATAAATCTCATGTCGCTCATCTATGTACTAGGCTCTGCTCATACTAATGTCTGGTTATCGAACCTCACTGTAGTTGTCAAAATGGGAGAACTGTTGAATTCACTCAAAGACAATCCTTGAGCTAACCTTAAAACCCTCTCCTTTAGAGAAGCATATGAAGAACGAGGTTAGCAAAACAAAACACTCATTTGGTTATCTTCTGTTTCACTTTTAATGACCATCGAAAACTCATGAAGCCAATCCCTGACTTTTCCTGATCGCCTGGTTATTGGTTCAAGTTAATAACCCAGCACCAACAACTCGATACTCATTTTCTCCAAATCATCATTTTATAACCAAGGCAGGACAAGATCACAAAAGATAATTCTACAAACCACTGTTGTTCTCAACTTCAGACATAGAGATTGATCATCTGATTCTAACAGATGCAGACTTGATCTTCACTTTAGAGGATCTGAAGCCAACATCTTTGATGATGAATTCTCTTCTAAAAATCATCACAAACTGGAAATTACCAACTCAACACTCCAGTTTTCTCAAACCCTTGATCTTAATCTGGTTTCAACACAATTCTTAATCTAATATCCAAACTCATTGGCACTTTAATTCTTCTCTTTCAAACATATTCTCTAGATCACAACAAAGCCGTCTTCTGCAACGATCTCGATCTCAACCCATTCATGATTTCACAGACCTCACATTACGTCATGAATACATCAAACCTGAAACAGATCTAGCATGTGTTCTCTTCCCAATTCCCATTGTCACATAACAAAGTATCAATAATCACCAAGTCTTCTTCCTTCAAGCTTTTTATGAAATTAACATTAAATATAGAAGATAAAATAAAAATATTAGTAAACTTTTTTAGCATCACCAAAGTCGTTGTAGTATAGTGGTAAGTATTCCCGCCTGTCACGCGGGTGACCCGGGTTCGATCCCCGGCAACGGCGCTTAACTTTTTTAACTTACGTTTTGTCTTGCTAATAAAATGACAAAATTACCCTTTTTCTCTCATTAAATTGGTTCTCGGTTCTGCCACTTGGTTTGGTTTACACTTTTTGAGTCTCTTCGTTTTCTTAAACGGTCAATGGTGCCGCTTAGTATTCTGTATCGTGAAAACTCTATATATGTAATGGCTTTTGCCTTTCTCTGCAAAATCAACCAAGAAATAACTCTTCTCTAAACTCTCTCTCCCTCTCAATCTCTGAATCATCATCTATCAAACATCACCTACGAATTCAGTTAGTTGATTCTCTTTCTGTTCCATTCTCTGTAGCTATGTTCAAATGAATTTTGTTAGTAGCAGCTTCTGATTTACTTTATATACGTAGACTTTAGAGTGTATTGTTGATTTTTTCATGGCACAGTTTCTCTATTTACTTGTTGTATATATATTACTCGTGTAGATGTTGGAGTTTAGTCGTGGAGAAAGTATGGATCTAATCAGTAATCTACCAAATGAGATTATTTCAGAAAAGGAGGCTGCTTTCACAATGGAAGAGATGGCGAAATCTCCTTACCATCATACCAAAACTTCATTTTGATGGTCGCTAAAGAAGGATCTTATTCACTGCCTTTGGAGATATTTACTTGCAAGACGGTTCACACAATGAAACTTGGGTCTGGTTTTGCTATCGACTTTATCCCTGCGGATGCTTTGCTTCCAGCTCTCAAGACTCTTCTTCTTGACTCTGTTCGGTTCTTTAATGATTTTGGTGGTCGTTGTGCGTTCCAAGCGCTTGTTTCTGCTTCCCCTGTGCTTGAGGAGTTGGTCATGGATGGTATTGAGTGGGAAAGCTGGAGATGGTCTTCGGCTGTGTCTAGTCCGATCCTTCAAAGACTGACTATCCGACGTCAAGTGTAGGGTGCTTATGAGAGATATGGTGGTGACAGCAATGTACTAGATTCTCGGGGTCTTGCCTTTGATTTTGACAGCATTAGTTTTGATACTGCGCCTCTTACCTAGTTGGAGTATTCTGATTATGTTCCTAAAGAGTATCTGAGTTGTGAATCTCAACTCCCTTGTTGAAGCTAAGCTCGATCTTCATGGGGAGACGAACATGCAGAATATTTTGATCCAATGAATCTGATTAATGGGTTAAAAGATGTTGAGATTTTGTACTTAAACGTTGAAACTATGGAGGTAAGTATCTCTCTATTTTTTCTCTCTCTCTTTGATATCTCATATTATTATTGCAAGTTTGCAAATAATAAATAAAAGTACATTAGGAACCATTGAGTTATAACTTATAGGAGTCAAAATCTTGCTAGAGTATGCAAATGGTTCTTGATGTTTTCACTTTACATCTATATGTTGCAATTGAGTTGATTTAGATGATTTTCTTGTGTTTCAGATGCTTTATGTCTACCGTGAAGCACTTCCAGTGTTTGGAAAGCTTTTTCAGGTATCTGTTAGCCTTTCAAACTTCTGTTGGGATTCTCTAGGATTCTCATATCAAAATCTCCATATCTGAAGACACTCATCATTGAGGTACTAATGTGACCGTAAACACCAACAAATCACTCATAAAGCTTCATCTCAAATCTCTTTTTTATTTTGTATCAGGATTCCTTTCACTATGGTAATAAAAAAGAATTGGTTTGCCAGTACGTGTTATCTTCTTCTTTGGAAGTTCTAAAAATAACCGGGTACGCAGGAAGTAGGGAAGAGCTTGGGCAAATGAAGCATTTTCTTGGGAAAATTAGCATGTCTTGAACTGGTGGAAGTTCATGCTCAAGTATCAGGTGGCGAATGGCTACGAGTCATGGTGGATCTGCTAATGCTTCCAAGAGTTTCTTCCAAGAGCAAAATCCAAGTCAAGTTTTCTCAAAAACGTTACTAAGTGTCTAAATCTTCCCTACTTTTGCTCAGGTATGTTTGGTTGTTGGAAACATGATCATTGATTCTGCTAGGCCTGATCCATTAGGATTCAATCTAGTTTATGGTTACTGGTTAGGATGAGGGAATCAACACAACCTTTTTCATCTTGTGACTCTGTAAAACACAGCGACATCATTCCAATTCTTCTCTTATATAGATTCTCCAGAGGCTTCTTCTACTCTTGAGAGTCTTGAGATGCATGTAAAGGCTCCGACTTGAGTTCCAGAACAACCCATCTAGCAGCTCTAGCTTTAATCCTGCAAAGTTCCCTCTTCACCACAAAAACCAGTGACTTATCTAAACAGATTCGCTTCTTCTATCTTCACGAGATCATCTCTCCGTGAAAGAACCAACACAAGACAAGCCACATTTAAATAAATCAGAAGTTTTATAAAGTTAAATGTGGAACAAGAAACATCTTTCTCCTCTTGTGTCATAAACCATGAAAAATGCTTTCTCGCTTCCTCAATCATCCGCCATTCAAACCCTGGAACTGGAAATTTCGATTCTTTGAAAACCCAGATGCCATTTTGGTGGGATTATCTTTGTTTTCCTCTAGTTCATCGCCAGAGTCACCTCTGGTTCGGTCCGAGCCTCCAACAGTTCATGATCAACAACAGATATTCACGTTGAACAAGACTATAGCCAGCTGTGTGCGTTCAGGAGACATAGATGGAGCTCTCAGAGTATTTCACGGGATGAGAGCTAAGAACACCGTCACCTGGAATTCACTGCTCGTCGGAATTTCCAAAGATCCAAACAGAACGAGAGAAGCACACCAACTGTTCGACGAAATCCCTCAACCAGATACTTTCTCCTACAACATCATCTTGTCTTGCTACGTTCGCAACGGCGACTTCGACAAGGCCCGGACCTTCTTCGATCGGACTCGGGACTCGGCGTCATGGAACACGATGATCACAGGGTACGCGCGGAGAAGGGAAACGGAAAAAGCGCTATTCCATGTCGGAGAAGAACGAAATTTCTTGGAATGCCATGATTTCGGGTTACGTAGAATGCGGAGATTTGGAAATGGCAAGACAGTTCTTCAAAGCTGCTCCGGTTAGAGGCGTGGACGGCGATGATCACAGGGTACATGAAAGCTAACAAGGTTGCATTAGCTGAGGCAGAGTTCAAAGACATGACAGTGAAGAAAAATCTCGTAACTTGGAATGCTATGATCTCTGGTTACGTCGAAAACTCTCGGCCAGAAGATGGATTAAAGCTTTTCAGAGCAATGATGGAGGAAGGAGTTAGGCCTAATGCCTCTGGACTGAGCAGCGAGTTGTCGGCGTTACAGTTAGGGAGTCAAATCCATCAAATAGTTTGTAAATCTACTCTGTGTGGGTGACATAACCGCAGTGACGTCTCTGATAAGTATGTACTGCAAATGTGGAAATCTTGGAAACTCTTTCAGGCCATGGAGAAGAAAGACGTTGTGGCGTGGAATGCGATCATGTCCGGGTATGCACAGCACGGTAAAGCGGAAAAGGCGCTGTCTTTGTTCTGTGAGATGAGAGATAACCGGACCAAACCGGATTGGATAACATTTGTTGCGGTTTTGCTGGCTTGTAACCATGCTGGACTGGAGTATTTTGATTCGATGGTGAGAGATTACAGGGTAGAACCGCGGCCTGATCACTACACGTGTATGGTTGATCTTTTGGGCCGGGCTGGGAAGCTGGAGGAGGCGTTGAGGTTGATAAGATCAATGCCGTTTAGACCGCAAGCTGCGGTTTTTGGGACGCTCTTAGGGGCTTGTAGAGTGCACAAGAATGTGGAATTGGGTGAGTTTGCATCTGAGAAACTGCTTGAGCTTGACCCGGGAAATGCAGCCGGGTATGTGCAGCTTGCGAATGTCTACGCTTCGAGGAGTCGTTGGGAAGACGTTGCTAGGGTTCGCAAGAGAATGAAGGAGAGCAATGTCGTCAAGGTACCTGGATACAGTTGGATCGAGATTCGAAACAAGGTTCACCATTTTAGGTCAAGTGATCGGATTCACCCTGAGCTAGACTTGATACACAAGAAACTGGAGGAGTTGGAGAAGAAGATGAAACTGGCTGGATACAAACCGGAGCTAGAGTTTGCTTTACACGATTTAGAAGAAGAGCAGAAAAAGAATCTATTGTTATGGCATAGCGAGAAGTTAGCTGTTGCTTTTGGGTGCTTGAAACTACCTCAAGGTTCACCGATACAAGTGTTCAAGAACCTGAGAATCTGCGGTGATTGTCATAAAGCAATCAAATATATCTCCGAGATTGAGAGACGAGAGATCTTAGTGAGAGACACCACAAGGTTTCACCATTTCAAAGATGGGTCTTGCTCTTGTGGCGATTACTGGTGAAAAAAAAAAGACGAGCTTTTTACTCTTCTGTATCGGCCAAACATGACGTTTATTGTGGTGAAAAAAGTTTCCTAAACTCATCTTTCCGGAAATCATTCCTTAGATTAAAAAGAGATCATGTTCACTCAATCTCTCATTCTCATCTTTGACCAACACAAAACTAAGCATATCAAAAAGCTATGAATAAAAGAACAGATTCTGTGCCAAAGTGTTTCAAAAATTAGATCAATCTCAAAACATACAATCACTTTGCAAAATATAGAATTCAACACAGCTTGCAACATTCACACATACACACACAAGTATTAACTTTTAAACTGAAAAACAAACGACAGGTTTTGCATTTTTAGGACAGGAAGCTAAAACATTGATCCTTGATGTCTGGTTTTTCACGAGGAGAACCTCTCGCGATCGTGAGGCGAAGAGTAGTCGATGTTCGGTCCCTGAGGAATGATCCCGAACGGGTTTATCGTAGGGTGGCTTCCGTAGTAATGTTGCTTAATATGTTCCATGTTCACAGTGCTACTCATTCCACTGATTTGGTATATGTCTTTTACGTAGTTGAAGATATTCGGATACTCCCTCAAGAGTCTCTTGTTACATTTGAAGTGAACCGCATATACCTAAAACACACAAGATGATGTCAAGAACTTGATTATTCGTTGGAAAACAAACAAGAAAAGTCTGTTTTCTAATCAAATACCTCATCAAATCTTATGAGAGTGACGAATAATCGAATATCAGCTTCGGAGAAAGTGTTTCCACAAATGTACCGTTGCTTTCCAAGTATAACCTCACATCTATCTACTGCTTCATATAACTCGTTCACTGCCTGATGAGAAAATGGATCAAATCTTTCAAAATCCGACCTGTTAAAAACGGTATAAGAACATGGAAGATTTTATATATACCTCATTGTATGGTTCTTGTTTCCTAGCAAACCCACATTTATAAACACCATTGTTGATCCCATTGAAAACCCATTCATTAGTCTCGTCGATTGCGTCTCTGAGATGAGAAGGATAAAGATCGAGCGACGGGTTTTTCGCAACACCGTTGAACTCGGTGTTAAGCATCCTGATTATCTCCGAACTCTCATTGTTAACTACAGTCCTGAGCTTCTTATCCCATAGAATCTAACATAAACAAAGAAAAAAACAGAGAACCAAAAAGATTCAATGAACAGTACAAGAGAAGTCACAGAGAAGGTCATAGAAACTTACAGGAACAGTGTACTTCCCAGTGTAATTAGGGCTAGCAATCTCATAGAGGTCTCTCACAGTCTTTGCACCGTTGAGATAATCAGGCTCAGCTCCAGGGAGCTCTGTGTCCGAATCAGGGAAGACCCATCCTCTATGATCATCAGTTTCTTTAGTCCTTCCCCAAATTGCGTGAACAGACTTGATCAAGAACCAAATAAAAGAAGGATGCTTTTAGGTAAACAATGACAGAAACAAGATAGAAGCAATGATGAACGAATATTTGGTACTGACCGAGAAGCTGATTGCATCATCAAGACCTTTGATCTTCAAGTAAGAGAGGCATCTGCAAGCCCAAGGACAAGCGTAGGATATGTAAAGATGGTATCTACCGGATTCAGCTGGGAACTGAGAGTGAGGATCTTGTGAAACAAAGTTGCGGAATGTTGATGCTGTTCTCACAAAAGCTCCGGATTCTGATGTCTCATCAACCCCAGACCTAGCCATTTTTTTTCTTTTTTTGCTACCTAGTAATAATGAAACACAATCAAAAGATTAGTTTTGTTAATCTTCACATGATCATAAAAAAGCATCAAACTTTCGGGATTTCAAGCACTTTTTTCAGTTCAGTAGAGAGTCAAAATCGAACATATTAGGGAATTCGATTTCACAAATGTTTGGCTTTCCGCAGTTGAACATATTTAACCCAGAATCTAGATGGAATCCGAAATTCAGTATTGAGTCTAAATACGATCATGATCATGAAGAAAGGAAGATCGGAGAATTGGGAAACATGACCCACGATGATGTTATGTACCTGGTGGTGAGATCCCAGAGAGAAAGCAAATGTCGCTGTTGTTGAACGATGTTTTCTGGTGATAAGGATTAAAAAAAGTCAAGCTTTAATGGACAATGCTAAAGACGGGTGTCTTCTGACTTCTTATATTGGAGAAGAATTAGCGAAAGCGAAAGAAGAAGAAAAAAACTTTGCCTTGTCCTCACTCGTCACTGCTTTTGTCACGCCTCACGAGTTAACTCAGCTGCTTTTGTCACGCCTACCGAGTTGACTCAGCTGGGTTCTGGTGGGGAAAAATGGAAAATGCAATAACCAAAATATCAACAAATACAATACAATACAAAAGCCTATTCTGTTCCATTAACAGCAACAAAAAGTTGTATAATGGAACAAAATAAGCTTATGCATTGTATTTGTATTTACTCAATACATAATCTTGTTTTGGTTATTATTGCATTTTGTACTGTATTTGGTTCCATTATCAACACAACAAATACAATACAAAAGCTTATTTTGTTCCATTAACAACAAGCGACAAAAACATCCTATATTGTGTTGATTCTGTTAACACAAAATCTTGTGCAAGACAACAACCAAAAACGGAAAGCCTAGTAAGAAGTTACCAACTTTGAGAATATTTACATCAGTGGGAGGCATAGAGAATATGAAAAGAGCAAAGATAAAAGTCGCATGTAAAGCCCTCACAAACACTTGTCCAATCCCCATTTTTCTTCTGCTTCTTCTTCTTGAAGAGCTTTGTAGCAATCTTGTAACCTCTCTAACAATGGCACCAACAAGAGCAAATTCGTTTCTGCAAACCACAAAGTCTTTAGTACTACCAACAAACAAGAATTGATTCAGTGTTTTCAATACATGTGTGCTTCCAAGCTCAAGCTTATCCTCCCTGTAACAAACGACTTCAAAGATTCTTCCCAACTCTGAACCAATACTGGCTCCATTGCAAATCTCATCTTTGTATCTGTAAAGAGTCTCCTCACGTCGTTTTTGTTCACATTGTAGAACACGGGGATGACCACAAGTTTACCTTTCTTTGCAAGCTTCCCCATCTTCACAAACTCGTTCAAGCACAAACCTGACTCGGAGTACCTCTTTGAGAAGATGGCCAGCGCAATATTCGACTCATGATCTTGTTCTTCTTCTCTTCCTCTAAGCTTGTAGCGTTCTGTGAAGACATTGACCCCTGACTCTCTCAATGCCCACACAAGATGTCTGACAAAGTTGTCTCCAAGCTCTTCTTTGCAGAAACTAACAAAAACTGGAGGGAGACGTGGTGGTAATAGGTCTAGCTCTGCCATTAGAGGCTCAAAAGACGATTTGATGTTATTGGTTTGAGTTTGCTGATTTATGGATTGACCTGAGAATCACAGAAAAAAAAACAACAGCTATGGAGCTCACTTGTATTTTGGAATATACTCAATCAATCACACTTCATAAGCAATATAACAAACATCTTATGAACAAGAAAGCAACCTTCAGTGTTGGTGGAATTATTAGAGTCACCACTTTCCTTGCTTGAAATATAGATGAGCACTTTCTTCACCTCCTTAACGATTGATTCAACCAATTCAGACTCATCCCTGCCATTATCAGTGAGAAGTTCAAATTCTGATCAAGTCCTAGCAAAACTTTGCTATGAAGATTGAAGATTGATTCTACCCAAATCCAGAATTCGGAACACTTAACCAGGAAACAAGGTTTGAAATCAAACATTCGTTCATAATTGTAAATGTACCTGTGTCCTGCCAAAGTCAAGCCAGCCTTTTGAGGAATAGAGATCAAAGCTTCTTTCCATTTCTGGATTCTCTCAGGCTCACTCCGATGATCTCTCTCCAGCTCCCTGAAATTGTCGCCGAAAGGTCCCAAGAGTTTTTTACAGTTGGTGGCGTCCAATCGGTAGAAAATGGGAACGACGACGAGCATTTTTTCGTCGATCCGCTCCTTCATCTTCACTAATTCATCCAGACACCAGCTCGATTCGGTGTATCTCTCGGATAAGATCGCGACCGCGACTCTCGATTCCTCGATCCTCTTGAAAAGATTCTGCAGATCTCTACCTCTGACTTCTACTTCGTCTGTGAAGACGTTGATCTTCGCGTCTCTCATTGCTTTCACGAGAAACCCGAGGAAGTTACTCCGCAGCTCGTCTCCTCTGTAATTGATGAACACTTGGTGCTGCGGCGGGGTTTCTTCGCTGGAGGTGGAGGAAACCGCCATTGTAAGTGGATTCTTCTTCGTTCCCCAAAGTCGCTTCTTCCATTATATAAGACACCAATTCAAAATCTGAGCAAAGTCAACTTTCTTATTCAATAAAAGTTGACTTTGTTGAGTATCTACAATCTCAAAAATCAAAAACCAATTGATAATCACTTTTCCGTACCAGACAAATCAAATTGAAAGCTTTAATCGAAAATTTCCCTTTTTTAGTCAAAAGATATATTTAATTACAATGTTTTTATTTTCTAAGGTAACCCGGGTGGCCAAGGGGACTCGAATCCAAGTGGCGGAAATCACAACCAGGGCCGGCCCAGCCATAAAACCACTAAAGCATAAGTTTTAGGTCACACAATATATAGATAAAATCTTAGGCCACATAACAAAGTAAACCCATAGCTAAATGATAAAAGATACTTCATATTTCACTCTTGGTGGTAGGTTCGAGTCTTTCTTCTTACGTATTATGTTGTGTTTCGTAAATTATTTTTATGAATATATCTAATTATTAAATAAATTTATGAAAAAGGCCACATAATTTCGGAAATTGCTTCAGGCCACAAGAAAGTTCGGGCTGGCACTGATTACAGCTGTGACCCCTTTCTACTGGGCCATGTGGCCTTGGTTTTCGTAACTTTTTTACCAATTTGGTTTCAAAGATAAGTCCATGGAGCTCATCCATGTGACTTGGTGTTGTTTGTTTTTAGTCAATTAATAAAATCAGAAACTACACTCACAAAAATAAATGGGGAATGTATTTTTTTCTTTGTTTA